AATTAGTAAGGAAGAACACTGAATCATAAGCAATGTGTCTCTATGTTCTACTGCTATAAATATCAGCATGGTTAGTACTGAATAGTGGAGTTACACTGTTGTAAATATTGTAAGCTCTACTTAATCATGAAATACATAATGAGGAAAAACACTTAATTAGTATATCTCCCTCAGAAATTATTTACCTAATGAGAGGGAATAGCAATGACTGCTGCTTAATGGGAACAACATTAACATATATTCCATGTAACGGGATGTACTCAGTCACTACTAAGGATGCCTGTAGTGGTTAACCAGGTGTTAAATAGCTGCAAAATTTTAAATTTCAGCCTATTGATACAGAAGTTGCCGAAAGAGATACAGATTAAGTGAACAGAATGTCATTCCTGTTCTTGCATTTCTGTTCAAGTATAGCATTTCATGTCAGCTGTCTCCATAATTCTAAATTCAGAGACATAAGAACTGAATGCTAGGAAGTACTTGTAATTTCTTCCATTTGGGCAAACATTTACTGAATTCCTACAGGCAATTATAGCACTTACTCGTAGAACCATAGAAACTGCACATGTAAACGGAACATGGGTCCCAAGTCTTTATAGATGATTTTTCTCAAAATCTCTTCTAAACGTAAAAGCCACTTAATCAGGACTCCAGGATGTCTAATTAGATTTCCCAGTTACCAGATACAAATGTACCCCAAACCAGCTGTAATTTAAAAAAAAAAATAACAAGTATGTTGTCTTACTCTCTCTCTTTCTGTGTCTGCAGCTGTCCTGTGAACAGCTCACAGCTGAGTGGTACAATTGTTCATTTACAGGACCGCGACATGGAACAACTCAGTGGGGTCACTGGTTCATCAGGCAAGGGAATAGAGACAAACAAGGCAATCACACTTCCAAAACAACAGGACACTGGAGTCCTAACTGCCAGCTGGAGGTGAGACGTGGTCTGGTGAACCAGCATTATTTTCGGATGTGAAAAGTGCCTGCATCCAAAACGCATTTTTAATATTCACTTTCACAGACTTTTACCCCATTTCCTGACTGTGTTACGGTTTCTCAGCAAGGGAAAGACGCTAAGAAAATTACACTGGAAGAATAGCCAAGATGAATCCAGACTTATCTGCTTCTACTCCTACCTCTCACAGTAAGCTCAAGCTGGCTTTCTAAAGGCTAAATGGAGCCACCAATGTTCAAAGCATCCTTAACCAGCACTGAGGTCTGCATAGCTGCATCTGCACTGCGCAGCCGCTGCACTCTCAGCAGTTATTTGGTCCTCTCCAGGCCAAATCCTCATTCACATCGCCATGGCACTGGAGCACGCTAGGCATGTCGGGGAAACGGTGACCCAATTGGACTGCCAGGGGAAATATACAGGTCTGTACAGACTTCTTCAGTGCATATCCTAAGCCAATCTGGACAGTCTGATACCTAGAAAAGTCCTTGCCAGAAGCAATCCAAGTCCACCCACATCCTATGACACAGAGCTGGCTTGTGGCCTCACAGATCCCAACACAATTAGGGCAGCCATTCATCTGTGAGCCCACAGAAACACATTTCAGAGCCATCTGGGCTGTCCCAGTGTAACACAATAGCAAGGATAACAGGCCCATGGGATGTTATGGCCCTATTTCCTTTGCTCCCCCAGTCCACCTATCCACTTAATGGCCCATAGCAACACGTTCACATCTACGACGGGCTACCCTCTCAGTCAGACCTGGTGTCTGCCCATCTCAGTCATCCAAAGTCCACGTCCCAGTGAGGACTAGGCAGCGAGGCTGCCACTCTTATGCGAGATGGTTTTTCAAGGCCAGGGGTTGCCCTGCATAGTATCTGCTAGATGAACGCAGGCAGAGAGGGAGGAAGGGAGGAGGCAGGTTTGGCACTGGCCTCACACTGAGAGGCCTCTCTATCTATTTCACAATCATCACTGTACGCCAGGAACTGGGCCAGTTGAATCCTTGCCTAATACAATTTGCTACTAAAGCAAGACACTCACCCATCCTTGTCCAGGGACATCTCCAAAGTGTACATATAGCAGCCAAGGGAGAAAAAGAAAGAGAGAGAGAGAGAGAATCTGGAGCATCTCTCCCTGCGTTTTTCCAACAAATATCTCTGCAAGAATGAGCTAAAGGTTCCCTTTATCCTGAAAATAATTTGGATAAGGTTCTCTCTTGAATCAGGATGTGTTCAGAGCGCATGTGGTGATGGTCCACTGCATTCAGCATAGGTATATGTCTGAGGAAAATCCACCCCAAGCCTGCACTGAAAGATTCCAAAAGCCAGATCTCATGTACCTTCAGCTCTGTACGAGCGAAGGCTGGGGACAGGCTTCAGGAGAGGTTAAGAGCACTTTTTCCATTGGGGTGGCTGCGTGTCACCTTAGAAAGTCAGCTGCTTGGACACACAGCCCTCATATTATTGATTTAGAGGCCAAACTGGGTTACGCAGTGAGACAGAAGACACAGTCTCTTCTGTCTATTTGGACTTCTAAAAGATGCCAGGATGTTGAGACATCCCGTTCTTTGCTCAGAACCCCTGAAAATGGGAAAAGAAATTTTATTTTTCTCCTGCATAATAATAATAGATTTGTTTCCTGGCATAGATAAGGTGTTTATCACTTTTACATGTGTTTTGTCTCCTGACGGGGTGCTCTGGGGAACAATCTAAGTCGCCACACCATTGATCCCCAAAACACTTTACCCTTACACTTGCAGTGCAGTGGCTTAGGCCATCTTTTTGAGGCCTGCTGAGTCCAGCCGACTCCCAAACAAGCATGTCTTCCATAGGAAAGGGCATCTGGCTAATGGGAGAGGCAGCAAAGGCTCTGAGCCCAGGGACCCACACTTCTTTCCTCTTTTGCCACAAGGTGCTGGTGGACTCGTGGCACAAGTTAGTTAGTATCCTACATAGAGGAGCCAAAAGCAGACAAGTTGGGGAAGAAAATGCATTAGACAGGCTTTGTCAAGGCCCTGTGGGATAGATATTTTCTAAGGGCACCCTGCAGCATGCCATAAAGCGTGTCTGGATTAGCCTTAAGGGTATGGATGCAAACAAGGTGGTTTTCTACAGAGCTGGTCCTTTGGGAGCAGCAAAAATGTAGATGTTGCTGCTGCAAATGCCAAAACTTACTGCATCGCTTTGGCACTGGAGTCCAGTAACCAGCCTCCTACCAACAGATTTTATACTTCCTTTCTTCACTTGTAGTTTAAGTGTGAACTGACAAAACTAAATAGAGGAGAAGCAGTACCCAAAATCCTATCCAAGGACAGATGTAGAAGATGGTGGATAGGAAATAGCAACGTACAATGGAATAAACATTTAAATGAACTAAAAAAACAATTAGCATTGTTCTCGCTCTCTTGCACAATTTGTATCACCCGGAGTAGTCGCACAGAATACAAATAGACTTTTTTATACCGGGACCTTCACATCTCTAGGGATCTTCTGCCTGCCGCTGCCCTGCTTTCTCCAACTACATTGTCCACCAAAATTACTTTGGGGAGCCTTTCTAACTCAACTGCTCCATGAAAAGGGTATCAGAAATTGAAGGCTGAGAATTTCAGAAGTGTTTATATTTCTAGATGGGCACATTTCCAAGAATGCCTCAGAGCAAACTTGCTGGAGGAGGAGAAAAGAATAAGAAAAGTGGGAAGAAAGAAAACAAGTGTATCATACAGCATGCATACTGTCATCCTACAGTGCTGCTTGCAGTACATCTGCTGGCTTATCAGCAGCAAGTCTGCAAAGTAAGGAAAGTGCACATTAAGGAAATCTTGCCAAAATAACAATTTGGATCTGATTTCAAGTTCTAACTCTCACAGGCAAGGAAACTGCCAGATACTGATATTACAAAGTAAAAGGCATACACAATCATTTGCAATTTTGAGATATTTGCAGTCCACAGCATTGCAATAGGATAGACAGAATTCTTAAGAGATAAAAATGTATTTGTTTAATTACAAACCTCCTAATACTGTTGGTTCTAATTAGGCTTTAGCAATATATCTGTGGCGATATGTTTTCTACTAATAATTATCCTGACGAGAAAGTAACATAACTCTCTTGAAGGAGGCAGAAAGAACGGAAAGTCCTTCTCTAAGGTGCAAGAGTGGATGTGCTCCTGGCTCCAAAAGCGTAAGTACAATCCTGAGCACAACACCAAGCTCCTTTGGCCTCAGTTTCTTCGTTGTTAATATTTTCTATCTTTACGGAGTTGCTGTAGACTTCTTAACATTTGAAATATACCCTGAAATCTCCTGATGGGAGGCAAGGTACTAGTACCAAGATATTAGAAATGCTTATTCATTTTCATGTCATTGTAACAGTCTAGCAGCCCATGTAAAACTGATCTATCACAGACTCAAGAAGATTCTGTGCTCTTCTGGGTTAGTTCACAAAATTTCATCCTTCAAAGCTATCATTTGGATTGTGCCTTCTAATAAACTTGAAAGCATAGAGTTTTACCTCATTTGAGTCTAAGACCTCACCTAGGAAATCCAATGCAAACAGGACATTCTCTGGAGTACCTCAATACTTAAGGCACAGGAAAAGATACAGTGAAAGACGACTGAAACATATTATGATCTTACTGCAATAGCATGAGAGAAAGGCAGAAAGGAAAAACAAGATTTCTGCACTTTCAGGATTTAATGCTGCTGATTTCTCCTCAATAAGCAGAAGAACAGTTCTTAGCTAGAAGTTTCCAAAAAGATGAGAATCATGTAAGTCATGTCTGCATTGCACAGTGGAGCAAAGCATGAATGACAGAACGAGCAAAAGCCACACTGGCTTCAGAAGCCATTGCAGGAACGCTGCTGGAGCATAGTTCTTCCTCAAGCTGCAAGAACCGTTAGCTTGGGCACAGTGCCATGCTAACACAGCTGAATACGAACAAGGTATTACATTCAAGACATTATATGCTTTCAGGAACAAGATATTATATCCAAATAGTGCTGCGCTGCACTTTGTGATCTTTATGTGTACTTCAGATCTTTATACCTTTATATCCGACAAAGGAGTTGGTGGCTGTGAGAAAAAGGATGGAGCAGTGCCTCACGAAAGTGGAAATGTACAGTACCCAGGGGAAAAGATGCCTTCCTTTTCCTGCTCCATCTAAGTTTTTCTTCTCTTGTGGATTCAATAAAGAGACTCTGTTGAAAAACAAAGACAAAGAAATCATTGTGGGAGATAAGACACTTCAAAAATCTCAAGTGAGCAGGAGGGGCAGTCTGCTACCTGCTGAGCCACAGTAGGAAAGCCTTCATGCTAGATCAAAGACAAAAGCCAGTTCTCAGCCAGGCTTTTTTCTCAAGCAGCAGTGTGTGAGCATGCTTATTCCAAATGAATGACAGCAACAAGGAGTCCAAGTCCCTTCCAGATTGTGGAAGCAGTATTAAGCAGAGACAGCTTTAATAAAAGTTCATAAATTCTGAAGCTTCATTTAGAGATGACTTAGCAAATGGATGCTTTCTCAGGAGATGCAGGAAGAATATTCTCTTGTGCCTTCTGCAGCACATCAGTGCTAAATAGCGCATTGATGTAGGCAGAATTTGTTCTCTGCAACTCTATAGCTTGATTTCTTTAAAGTCTTTGGTGCAGTTTAGCCGGAGAAAAATAAACAACAACGTAGCATATATATGTATGTACATTTAAATATTTAATATACGAATGCAGTCCTGGACACATGAAATTTCACTGTACTGCAGGCATGTGGGTTGTAATTCTTAGTGTTATTCAGCTGGTGGGATTTTGTAAAGTTTCAGGTCTGTGAATCCGTATATAAAAAATATACACAAGTTTTGAAAATGTGTATTGTTAATTTTTATGCATCTATATTTCAATATCCTGCTTTTTCCTTCTTATAAACGTGATTTAGAGGCAAATCCTTGTGTAGACAGCAGAAATAATGTTATATGTGTGACTGTTCACGTGTTCTAGTTCCAGCTTTTTCAAAGCTCTGAGAAGCTTAACATAGCTGTCACTTTTTAAAAAAAAAAATCAAATATAAAAGAAGTATTTCCCACTTCTTGCTTAGAAGTTCTTCTTACAAAATTTCAAAAAGAAATCGTTTGTTTAGGGGCGACAAGAAGAGGCATTATTCAGTCCTGATGCAGCAATGGACATTCAATATGCAAAAAAGTTCGTTTCTGTTACAGCATGGCTCTGCAAGACTACAAATTTTGAAAAGATGATTCCATTCTCCCAGAACTCAGAAATACAACACAGAACAAGTTGTAGGTTTTTTAGAGGCTTTCTAGATGTTCAGAGCCATTTTTCTTTACAGTTGGCGCTAAAGTATCTGCTTGTAGAGTCACAGAAATGGAAAATGCCTCCACTATTATTTACATTTGTGTAGAGCTCCCCAAAAAGATCTGTCACATACTTCTTCCGAAGGACAGGCAATATATGTAGGCTACAGGATAGCATGAGGTAGTCCATAGATTCCAGTGGTTGACCAGAAATCCATGATGTAGGTTATCTGAATACTCATTCATATGACACACTCTAGACCTGAAAGACAGAAGTTAGAACCAGATATGATTTTGAATCTAACCTTACACAGTTTTCCAGGTCATCTCTGACCAGAAGAGGTAGCGGATGTTTTCAGAATCTCCATAGGCGCTTTGACTGCTGTTGTGGTAAAACTTCAGCTCACTGGCAAAAGGCCCCAGCCCCAGGTGGGAGACAGGGGTGGATTTCAAGTACAAAGAGTGTCGACAGTTCAGTGCCTCAGCAGATCAATGTGGCTCCTACATGTTTGTCAACCTCACAGATTAAGAAACCACAGGATGTTTATATGTGAATTATTTTTTTCCATGCACCCACAGAACAGCTAGGAACCTAAATGAAATAGTGTATTATTTGTATTTTGTTCTGACAAAACAGCAAAATAATTAGGCATATAAAAAGTTTCAGTTAAGCAGAAAAACATAGCTAAGTTTAGGAGTATTAAAAATACCTTTCAGAGGTATTTTTAACTAAAACTATTAAATTCTGATGTTTGTTTTTTAAGCCTACGGTCTAAAAATGTCAAATGGCACAAAACTGAACTGTACCTCAAAATTTGTGTTTAGATGTGAACATGGCAGCGTGGGCCCACTGCTAAGTACAGATTGACTTTTTTGGCCAGTACGATGAAAGAAACACCAGAGTTTTGTACATCTAAACTTTCGGAAGCAAACTAACAGCTGAAAAATCTACCTTTGTACAGCAAATACCACCTCACATTATATGCAGAAATGATACCTATCCTATTTGCAGACAGCTAAACACTTAACCACTGTGTGCATTCAGGTACATGCAGAGCCACGCAAAAGGCAGGCACGCAATGCTTGTCTTTACATATGCTTAGCTTTGAGTAGAAGGTTGGCTTAGTGACAGGAGTCCTCAAGACAGCATCAGACTTTGAGTCAGTACTAATTTCTGGAATAGTCTATGCATACATTTGTGGAGATTATGAACCTGACCATCATATGCACATACAGGGGATATTAATGCTATTTTTCTTCTGCCAGTTAGCTGCGTCAAGTGGCATCAGAGAATCTGACAGAAATGGACTGAATCTGACAAGCTGTCTATTTTTATAAAATCTATAGACCTTACATGAGCCTAAGCAGCCAGCTAGGGTTTGTTTTATTTTGTTTTTTTTTTTTTTTCTCCACATGGTACACATAGGTTGCTTTCCTGATCATGTCTGGGTCTCATCAGCAGGGATCAACCCTTACCACCATCTGCAGAGTTCTTGGATGTCCTCCTGCAGAGTCAACATCACTCCAGGAGCAATGATCACCAGAACAATCACAATCCCTAGACTACCATGGAAACAGAAAATAAATCTGGGGGGAAGAAACATTCAGAGATGTCAACAAGCATATGGTGTAAATACCACGATACTCCTATAGAAATGCTTAAACTCACTTTGCCAAAGCCACCTACAAAACAGCCATTTAATACATCCTACCCGTCTGACTTGTATCTTAGACCTGCTAAGGCAAAGGAAAAGCAGGACTTCTGAAGCAGGGTAGTTTTCCTGATGAACACTCCTACGTTGTTATATAAACATTGACACATTTGTTAGTCACAAAGTAAAAGAGTTTGAGTCCAGTGAAGAGTCAGCAAAGAATCAGTGGTCCTGATGTGAACTGACTGCATTTCTTAGCAAGAAAAAGATCTTCCACTCATGCCACACTGAGAAAGTGAACAGAGCATTACAATGGCTAGAAGTCTATAACTGCTACAAAATTTTACCAGAAACGGTGCTACAGATTGCCAAGAGCTGCATACAACTACTTTCACATTCTATTTCTCATATTATCTAAGAGAAAATCTACATGTACCTAATACATGGCAAAAAGCTGGGTAGGAAAGATTGCTTCCTCCCCACTATCTAGCATTCTGTATGTTCTGTATTACCCACCTGAGCTATATATGCACAGCTCTCTAAATAAGCTAATTCTGCCAAAATATCCACAATAGATTAAGTTCTGTGTAGTCTTCTGACTTACCAATTGCACTTAGAACTCGATATACAAAAAGATTTCTGAAAAAAAGAAAAATTCAGGAGCTGTATTTCTTTATTTGACATTGCTATATGCTACTGCACACTAGTTGACTAAACAGGATGAGTATTTTGATAGCATTTAGTGGCTATGAAAATGCCTTCAAGACAAACTGTTTAAAGTAACGGAATTTATAAGACGCTCATCACCTGTGGAAGCCGGAAGATACAGGAATTCGTACTTGCGTGTTGCAATGCATACATGGATGATCTGCATTCAACAGTCTCAAGACAACGCAAGTCTACTACCGGAACTACAAGAAAGAGAAATTTAAATAAAATATAAGAAAACTGTAGAAAATTGGAACGTTTTATTTCCTTTCCAATAACTGAATAGTTTCAGGAGTTTCAAATATCTTTCCTGGCCATATCCCCGTGCACAGGAAATGAAAAATGAACAAAATCAATCACGATCTTAATGAAAGCAGGATCTATCCCTTAGGATGAGAACACAGATTGCTTTGGACAACAGGGACATAATTCAGCTGGAGTCTTTGAACGTTTTCTGCAATTCAAATAAAACAAATAAAAATATGATCCCTAGAGGCCAAACTCCATCTCTGGATCTGAATATTTTGAAAATGGCATTTGTTGAAATACTAAGAGACACCTAAATTTTAGCAGCACTATTAAGAATCTTAAAAAAAAAAAAAAAAACACCACAACAATAACACTACCACCACGAAACTGTGAAGATAAAGTATGAGAAAGAAGACAATGAGAATATGGAAATTACATTCAAGTGATTACAAAAATTAGAAAAGAGATTTATAAAGTAATAACCTTCTACTGTTAATGAAACAGAATTTGGGTCACTCTTACTGTACATTATCTAATGCCTAATTTTATGCCTGAAAGGAGGCTGACACTGGAAAGAAAATTAGACTCTGCAAACCAAATACTTTAACTACTTTTATTGCATTCTGTATTCATATTTAGTTAGGTAGAGGCAGGACTGCAGTCCATGATCTTAATTTGCATCAGTTACCAGAAATTCATTCTGCCTGCTCTTTGTGGTCTCCCCCACACATTGCTTTGCATCTTTTCAATATTAATAATCAAATTAACAGTCTGCCTTTCACCCCTGTAAACAAAAATTTTGATTCTTCTGTCCACATCAGTGCTGGAGCCAAGACAGTTCACTTGCTGACTCAGGGGACACCTAGGAATAGAACTAACCCCAGGCATAAACCATGTCAGTCAAAAATAAAGCTTTGTCTAGTCTTTACCTATATTACATGAGGTTTCAGGGGCACTGAAGTCCTCATCTTGAGTTACAGGGAAGAGGAAACCCAACAAAACCACAAACATTTGTGTGCATGCCTAGGAGTCTTACATGGCAGACAAATATAACCATATTTGGAAGCAAAGAGAAATGAAATCTAGAGTCTGGCAGCTCTGGAAGTGCGTTCCCACATCATCCCGACTCTCTACTGCCCCTGGAAGTGTCACAGACTAGAGATACTTATTTGTATCTGTTGAGCACTGAAAGTGACTGACACTGTACGTGCATTTCAAAAACAATAACACTTTACATACAGTCGGAGTATTTTAGAAGTACTTTTAAATCGTCAACGCAGGTCTAAGTTCAATACCATGTTCTGCGTTGACTGCAACCAGCACACTTCCTAGAGGAAAAAGGCATCGTAAGGGCAGCCATGCTGCCCCAAGACCACTGCGGAACATTCATAGGAAAAACTTTCATAGGAAAAAGCAATCTTAAGAATGTTATTATGCAGACAAGTCACTGATGCAGAGAAGAATAAATTGAACCTTCCTAAATCGGTGAAAATGAATTTACTTCTTTATCTTTGTATTGTACCTCTCATCACATGGGGTACGGACCAGTCATGATCATAACTGCAAAAATACCACACACCTTTCACATAAACACTTAGGGAAAGTCAGCATCACTTGGACATAGGGGTTCCTCTAATATATTAGAGGAAATAATCCCAAATCCCTCAAAACACACACAGCAAACAGTCACTGAAATTAACAGGATGTCAAAACAGGAAAGAGTTGTCTATAATCATCTCTATAGTATATGCCAGAACTTGTTCTCAACAAAAGTTTCAACGAACAAGTCATCTTTTGGTTAAAAAGTTTCACATCTGAAGGTTCCATCACCTTTAACAGCAAGGATACATACAGTAAAACTTGTGCATAGGTTTTGTGTGTATAAAGAGGCATTCACAGAGAGAAAGGGAAGGAGAACTGCTGTTCAGTGGCCCCATGTTTTTGGGAGTCAATTAAATGGATAAATTAACTGCAGAAGCTTAACAGACACAGCATTTGCAATTGCTTAACAGCTAGGATGAGCTTGCGGCCACAGATTTTCAGTGCTCACCCACAGCGGGTCTGGCTTATCATTTCAAAGTCTCAGTCTTTCATTATACACGCAGGGGATCCCACTGACTTTACTGGGATGAGAACCCTCATCAGACTAACCACAAATACGTAATTTCCCTGACACGCTGGCTCCTTGCTTGTGTGAAAACCTCCAAAATACAGATTTTACAGGGACTGAACAGAACAGCACACTGAATTCTGAACGAATCGAGCATGTTGAGCTCTAAAACAACAAACTGCAATTCGGGCAGGAAGCAGCCACTTTCATTCTGTATTTGTGCTGCCTAACAGCAGACTCCACTTTGCAGTATATGCTACCAAAAAACCAACAGTGGCAGAAACAAAAATGACTATTCCACAAAGAACCACTTGTTTTGTCAGCTTTTCACAGTGCCTGTAAAAGTATATGAACCGACAGGCTCCAGCGTACGACCTCTTTGTGCTGTCCTGGCTTCCGCTTTATATATTCCCAGGTCTACAGCATTAAAACGTGCTGTGTTCCAAACTTTAGTCCCGTAGCTGTGCAATGTATTTTTACTACAGCTCCTGTATGAACTATGAGCCCTACTACTTCATCATGAAAGATTCAAGAGCTCAGCGCATACTTCTAAGTGTGTGCCACTAAATCTACTTACCTCCGATTTGAGCCTGGTGGAAAATCAGTATCTGGGTGGTCGCTTTTCATTGGTCCTTGTGGCTCTGGGTGGTCAACTCTGGGCCAGATTTCTCACCTACAGTGAAAACTCTGATCTGATCCAAAAAAAACAGAGAAGACAGAAGTTATATGAAGGGGAAGATGATGTGTTACCATTTGGCTCAAAATTTGTGTCTTGTAAAAATACTCTTTCCTAATACTTAAAACTACTAAACATCCTTCTAATATTTTTCCACTGTTCATATAAGTACCTTTTGTTCGCTTACAAACACCAGTGACACAAAAATGAATTTTCTGTAGCAGAGACAAATTCAGTACTGTTGCATTTCACTCGTACTGGAGAACTTAAAAAACAAACAAAAAACCCCACTCTACTATTGAAAACAATGTATTGGCCAGACTGCTCTGATTCTCTAAATCAAGAGGTGACATCTTTTTGGCCGTTGCAGACCACATTAACCTTTATGATGGCAGGAAGGATAGTCACATTCCCTAACATCGCCACCAAATTGCACGACCAATGATGTAACTAAAATACTAGCGTTCCTGATTATGTGATGGGTGCAAGACTACCCACACAGCTGTGACAACCCCACTGTCATTATCTATGGTGAAGCAACAGACATTTTCTCAATGGTGCACAGTGACAGGACAAGAGGCAAATGACAAAAACTGAAATACAGGAAATTCCATTTAAACATAAGAAAATAGTTCTTCACAGTGAGGATGGCTAAACACTGGAACAGGTTGCCCAGAGAGGTTGTGGAGTCTCCATCCCTGCACATATTCAAAACCTGACTGGACATGGCCCTGGGCAACCTGTTCTAGGGGACCCTCCTTTGTGCAGGGAGGCTGGACTAGATGATCTCCAAAGGCCTCTTCCAAACTCTTAGACTTCGTGATCCTATTCTATGATTCTTATTCCTATTCTCAAAACTCTAGAAGAGGCCTTACAGCACTCAATGCATGCAACAGGAAAAGAGGTTGGGAGCTCACCAGAAGAAGTGGTAGGAAACATACTGCATTACGAGTCTGACAGTCCTTCACAAAAAAGAGTCAGGGTGAAGGCCAGGGAATGTTTTGGTAGGCCAGAACCTCTTCACCTTTCCCTGAGCCCAAGTGAAAAGTAATATAGTAAACAAAGATGAAAATATATTGCGTTTTTAATCAAGTTTAACAGTCCAAAGTTATTTTCATATGTGAAAATATTATGTTCTTTTTAACTATACAAGGGAACCCGATATTCTGCTTCCTTGACCTGACAGTGACTTACGTCATTCACACCAAGTGTGAAAGCGGCTCCAAAAAGCTGCCTAATCAAAACAGCACTTTTTTTTTTTTTTACACCAACTTTTCTCAAAAGACTAAGTCCTTTCTATTTAAAAGGAAGATCTCCTTAAATTAATACTGCAAAGATACCAAAGATAGGAATTTGTCTGGATTTGCACAGATTCAGATGTATTATTTTTCCAAATTTCTTTAAGTGCATTTACTTATCAATAATATGATTCTACTTGAGACCTTCCTGTTACTTCTATGCATAATTCAGTAAGGAACTAAAAAGTAAGGAAGGATTAAAATGGAGAGTATTTGATAAGCCCTGGCACACAACATAACAGAAAAGCAATGAAGTTCTACATCTCTGAATTGGCCTCACAGTGCAAAAGGAGAGCTCTGGGTCCTCTAGCCGAGATGAAATTCTAAAAAGCTTAGAAATATCACTGCTTGTCAGTGCTAGGTAAGCTGCGGAGATGTTTTTAATGCCATGCAGACTTCAGAAATAAAAGGCACTCCATGGAGATGTGAGGCAGGCAAAAGAAACTCAGAGGAAGTAAGGTTTTTTTGGGCAGACAGCAAACATGCTACTTTTGTCTTTTCTGTTTTTTTTTTTTTTCCTCTGAATGACAGAATACTTTTGAGTGGCCTTTCATAAGTGAAAAGTGAAACTCACGTCAAGTTGCCCCTTATACCGTAGCTATAATTTTCTCAAAGTGTCATCACAGTTAAGGGGTTCTTCACTGCTTAACTTTACACATAGAAGTAATACTACTTTACCTGTGCATAAAACTGCTCAGTACGTGAGCACTCAGAGGATGATGCCTAAGTCAGTAATAAGTTTCTTATAACAAATCTGATTTTGATATCTCTCTGCAATTCTACAATGCATTTTATTTTAGAACTACTAAATTTAGAAATAATCCTTCAAGTATTTTTCTGAAATAATATATATTTTATATAACAAAAACACAGCATGGTTTGGCTGTTGATTCTAATTATCTGAAAACCAGCATTCAAGCTGGCTTGAAGAATAGCAAAGGTTGACGCTTTTCTGCTGTTAAGATGGGCTTGAAAATACATATATATGCACACAATTATTTAGTGAGGAAAACTTCTCATTGAGGCAGAGCAGATATGAGAAATATGTTTTGAAAAACTAAGCTATTTAAGACACAACCAACATCCCAGTACAGCATGATAAGACTCAACGATAAGAAAAGTCCTTACACAACCTCAACCTAAGTATCCAAAGCACTATCCACCTCTTCATTACCTCCAACACATTTTTCTATCCCATAATGAAATCGTAATACCTTTTCGCACATCTCTGGTACAAACTGCAAACCTCTGCTTAAAACACCAGGAATATGTTCTGTAAAACCTACCTCCCACACCTGACATTTGGGCTACAGTTCAATGCAAACCTCTTCCCGCTTTTCTTGCCCATACTTCAACAAAGAACGATCTATGCTCCTCTCACACTCATCGCTTTCTTAAGTAAGTCTACCTCACGTCAACTACTATGTTATACGTCACACACAAAATCATCTTACACCATACTCATAAAATACACCTGATAAGAAACAGAACTCAGAACACCTGCTCATGCAATAGGTGAGCCATAACAGAGATTTATTTTACGTCTATTTACTTCTCCTTAAGAACTGAGAAGCTACCCTAGACTTTTAACAACAGCAGACCCCAAAGTGCTGTCCCACTGCACTTTGGGGTCACACCGCTGCAGACCTGGAGGACACTGTTACTCCAGCTCTTTACTTTGCAGAGCAGATGAAAGCATACACAGGACTCCTGCTTACAGCAGTGCTGGAGGAGGGCAAGGTTGTTTTTCTGTTCTCTTTTACTTGTCTTCGGAGACTGCTTATTGACTCGCTTGACAGAATGCCCATACAGGTCACAGACCTGCAGGACTATCAAGGCCGCAGAGCCAGATTAGCACTGTTTGTGAATTCCAAAGACTTTACTTTTTATATTTTTCCTTCATTTGACATTTAAAAACTCAGGTTAAGGATGCTATGATTTATAAATAAAGCTATTCTAATTTTCTGTCTTTCTTTACCAAAAGAAGTTGTATTTATAATCTTATCTATCGCTTCCCTAAGAAATAATATGGAAAGAATTCTGAAATTTTGGCACGATTTATTAACTACAAATTAAGAAAATGTATTCCTAGCACTTTCAAGGTATGATACATTCTACCCAAAAGGCAGGAAAACCTAAAGATAGAACAGGAACGCTATACACCAGATGATTTTGTTCCCATTTCCTTTAGCATGCTGAACACCACCACCAGACATAATATAAATTGGAGCAGAGATTGACTCTGGCATGGCAGATCTCAAAGGCCTATGTAACCCGTTAAATTACAATGACTGAAAGCATTAGAGGCTCAGGTTCGTGCATTTTCCTATTACTATACTTGTACAGGGATAACAGCTTGTTCATTAAACCATGAGCACTTCACAATCAGTAAGCATTAAGTATTGGGGCATTCCTAGTCAAAGCTTCTGTGATCTTTTCAAATACTAGTCTGAGTACTTCTCCTGGGCTCTGCATCATTCCTTTGGACTGCTTCCTATAACAACAGGGGGAACTTTCAACCTGAAAATCTTGCTGTTAGTACAGCGAATTGATCTTTTTACTGGGCAGCAGCATTTGCGCTAGAAAGTCAGCCTTTGTTTCACCTTTTACAGTGCAGAAAACATTCAGCAAGCGGGTAAGGTTCCTTTCTTCTTCATTTCTCTCATGTCACTTCAAAAGGACGCGAGGGCCTAGAGCAATCACCCTGCGAGCAGGTAAGCAGTGCCGTCGTACCTTAGAGTAGGTAAGACTCACCGAAGGAGCCAGGGGCAAGGTATGACGAGCGTCCCTAGGAAGTGACAACGCCTATATCTCATATGCCCAAAGGTGCTGACTGTGCATGCTATTAATAGCAAGAAGAGAAAATAAGACAGCAGGGTTGTCGATCCATTTTAGATATCCTAACTGGAAACGTGTGTAGGGTCAGCTTCTCGGAAAAAAAACACCCATGAAAAGACAGAGCGTGAGGGCGCTGGGTGAGGTGAGGCGGGTGAGCGGCAGGGGGACCGCTCCTGCCTGCCAACGTCCCCTGCCCTCCGCGACTGCCGAGAGGCTGCAGCAGCGGCAGAGCGGCTCGTGACGCAGCCTCGGAGCTACGCAGCTCTGCAGATTAGCAGCAACTGGGATCAAAGGGAGTTCACCGAAATACACGGGGTTATCCACGTGGCACTTGGCAGCGCTGAGCTGCGTGTCAGTCACCCGTCCCGCTCGTGGAGGGGGTCGGAAGAGGGGAGGGAGATCTGGTGGCCCTAGCTAATCTCCTCCCGGCGGCACGTCAACACAACGTGGCTTCGCTCGGCGCAACCAAAAGGAGCACGTGCGAAACGTTAACGCTGCTTCCAACTCGTACAGCCCCAGACAATGCCAAGGAGCACCCCCTCCCCGCACGTACAAACACGTATTAAAAGGCTGCAGCATCGTCAGCGCATACATGTCACCATCCTAAAAGGGTTCGGAATGCCTCTGTGTGAACAAAGCGGCTGCGAGCACGTTATTTAGGAAACGTCAGACAGGTCCTGCTTTGCCAGCTGGCTAATAGTCCGATTAGAAAGTACACTAAGTAATAGCAGACAGCCAGTAAACAGTCCAGCTCAAATCGGACTGGCTATATCTAAAAACGAAGAAAATTGGCAGGGTTGAGAAGGGATGAAATGCATACGCGGGGGGCGGGGTTGGGGGGGAAGGAAAAAAAGATTTTAAAAGATTAAAAGTTAAACATTTTTACAAACGACAGACGTGGGCTTTTTGTTCTCCTTTATGCAACTAAATAGAATAAGTTAATTACATTTATACCCACTTTGGGGTTGAAGTAATGTAACATGATCTTAATGCAAATGTGAATCTCAGACCTTTATGTCATCACGATGAATCCCTCAAGAACCGAATACTGAATATCTCTCTCAGGAAAACAATTTCAAAGGCAATTTGGATTTCCTAATTTGACCATACGACGTGCAACAGGCAGTAGCGCAAGTTAAAAAATTCCGGACAGCTTTTCTTTGCAAGGATGGCCCTGGCAATGTCTATTGCTATTTTCTATCAACCGTTCTCTTTTTAGTGTGATTTAGAGTAGCTATATTCCCTTCCCCATTTGAAGGCATCAGCTGTGCCTTTTCCTAAAATCCTAATATGCTCAGCGCATGAATGACAAAGAAATACAGATTGCCTTTTTGGGTGGAAGAGAGGATGTTTTTGAATCCAAATTCTCCTTGCTCGTTATCCACCAGCTGACTCTGGCTTCCCTAAACTAGATTCCTGAATGTTGCACCTTAACATTTTTGCTACTCCAACATATGCTCAAAACAAGGATTTACAAGCCCACATCAAAATCTGCTTTCATGCGCTACTCTGCCAACTCTGCCTACATACAGGCTGCTGCCGCACAGCCATAGTTTTTGGACCTTCTGGCTTAAAATACCATTCAGCTAATATTTCTGCCTTATTTTTCACACAACATTATTATTATTATATTAACACTTATGATCACGTAGAGCATCATTAACGCAATGTTAACTTTCAGAAATCCAAAACAGGCTCCTTGACATTGGAGTCCCCCAAAATTAATGTCCTAGCCATTTCTAAGGGCAGGTCACATTCATGGATCTGTAAAAGAGGACACTAATATTTTGAAAGAGCCTGTATTTCTATACTTGCCAATTTACAGCAGAACTGCAAAGCAATTCCAGGCATAGGGAA